GGTCACAATTTCTCATGAGGTGGTTATTTTTGCTGCTTTGCTGATCTACGTCCCTTGGTATGTGCCCCTAAGTACTGACAAACGTGACCAAGGAGAAGAGGTAAGAGCAGCGAGGTAGGACTTCAGACATACTTCTGCCCAAGAGCCTTTCCCTGGAAGGAAATGGCAACAATTACAATAACAATGAAGTAAATATCACTTCCCGTACGCTAAAGCTGCTTTCATGTCCAAAAAATGCTTTAGAAGAATGAGGCATTATTACTGTAATTGAAAGAGATTACACAGAAAATTAATAAATTTCCCCCCCTCTGTGGATTTGTCAGCACTTGCCAGCTCTGCTGGTCCCAGAGACAGCAGCCTCCCCTCTGGCACCTGGGGTCCTTCAGGCAGCAGGACCCCTTGGCAGGAGACCACGGGGCAGGACATATTTAAAAAAATTGACAAGTTTCACCATCCTGGTCTTCTTTAAGTGCAGTTCAGAGAAGTTCAGGTTCTTCAGGTACGTCCCACTTGCCACGGCCCTTCCTCACCTGGGGCCCACAGGGACTTCAAAGCTGCACAGAGATGTCAGGAAAGGCCAGAGCCCAGGGCTGCCAGCAGCTCATCGGATGCCTCTGGTTTGCAGAGGTACTGCTACAAATCGGAGCAATTCCTTGTCCCCCGGGGGGAGGCCAGCGGCCAGCCTCGACAACATGCTGAGCAGCACACCCCACACAAAGCCACAAAGGGACAGGGAGTTTGGGGTTTATTGCCCCCATGAAGGAAGAGACAGGCACGCCGCGCCCTTGCTTTTTGTCGGTCTGCAGTGAGCGGCTCGGGGCAGGGCCCAGCTCCCTGTGAGGGGCAGCCGGGCAGGCTGCGGGCAGCAGCGGGGCACGAGCACCTGCATGCAGGGACACTTGGGTGCAGGTGGGTACACGGACAGAGAAGCGAGGTAGTCTGAACCGAACCCCGATGTTTTGCAGGCAAATGCTGGAGCGGAGGAGGGCAAATTAAGTTACACCACTAAAACTGGATGCAAAACTTTAACTGTCATTTCCTAACTAATTTTTCTTTAAGTGGGGTTAAGAAGGACTTATAACAGAAACAGGCAGAGGCACTTAACATAGGTTAATGTGGCTTCTGTGAACAAAGGGTTTTCTTCTAACTATACATGGCAAGCAAAAGCAGGCGAGCATTCAACACCACCTGAGTGCGACTGCTTCCCATAGGATGGGCTGCAAATGCCAAATTACGGGCTGGCAGGAGCAGAGGGGATTCCCTCTGCCTGCGGTAAGGGGTTTGCTACGGACAAACTAAGGAGGGAGTGTCGGTAAGAAGCAAAGACCCCGGTCAAAGCCAGGTGAAGGGGCTGCGTGGGCCACCACGGATTTCTCCACAAACATGAAAAAAAACCCAAACAACAA